GGCGCTCAAGGAGTTTAGATGTAAATGGGAGCAGGGAGATGGGTCTGAGGTTGTTCGGGTCATTGGGGTCCAGGGAGGGCTTTTTAAGTATGGGGGTGATGTGTGCATGCTTCAGAGGGGAGGGGAAAGTGCCTGAGGAGAGGGAGAGATTGAAGATGTGGGTGAGGGAGCGTAGGATGGAGGAGGAGGAAGGTCGTAGGAGTTGTGAGGGGATAGGGTCGAGGGGGGCAGGTGGTGAGGCGGGCATCAGAGAGGATCTTGGAGACTTCCTCGATGGTAGTAAGGTCAAAGGTGCGGAGTGTGGGGGGGAGCTTCAGTATGAGGAATGTAGGGTGGGGTGGAAGAGGAGGTCAGAGCAGTGGTGGGGCCGTGGGAGAGGGGTGATGAGGGGGTAGCTGAGTGAGGGTGAAGGGGGTTGGAGAGAGGTTGAGCAGCGACAAAGTCCCTGCGGGTTATGTCGAGGGGGAGGGGGGATAAGGGGGGTAGCTGTGTGAGAGGGGACGGGTTGAGAGGGCGTGTGAGTTGCGGCAATGTCTTTGCGAAATTGTGTCAATCTTGTTTTTGAAGTGATTGGCAATCTCAAGGGCAGTGAGTGAGGTGCTGGGTGGAGGTGGGGGTGGAGAGAGTAGAGAGTTGAAGGCAGAGAAGAGTCGGCGAGGATTGGAGGAGAGGGCCTTGATGAGGGTCAAGAAGTAGGCCTGTTTGGCAGCATGGAGGGAGGAGGTGTAGGTGCGGAAGGCAGATTTATAGCGGGTGAAGGCTTGTTGGGATTTGGTTTTGCGCCATAGTCGCTCCAGGGAACGACTTTGTCGTTTTGAGGGTTTTGGTGTGATCAGTCTGCCAGGGCTGGAGCGGTCGGGGTCTGATGTTGCGTGTGGTTAAAGGCGCTAGTGAGTCAAGGGCTGTTGAGAGCGCATTGTTGTAGGCGGTCAAAGCCAAGTTGGGGCAGGACAGGGGGAGGATGCGGTCGTGGAGTTGGTCAGCTGCAGAGTGGAGGGAGGCAGGGTTAAGGTTGCGGAGGTTACGGCTGGTAGTAGTGTGACATTTGGAGGGGTAGGCGTTGGAGGACGAGGAGATAGAGAAGGTGATCAGGTTGTGGTCAGAGAGAGGGAAGGGGTGTTAGTGAGGTTGTGGGGGAGCGCAGCGGTTGGAGAAGACAAGGTCCAGGATATTTCCGTCAGAGTGGGTGGTGGATTGTATGCACTGTGCAAGTGCAAAGGAGGAGGTTAGGTGGAGGAGATGGGCTGTGTCTGGGTTGTCGAGGTTGACAGGGATGTTGAAATCCCCCAAGGATGATGGTGGGTAGCTCAGAGGAGAGGAAAGAAGGGTAGCCAGGAGGAGAAGTCATCCAGGAAGCGGGGTATAGATCCAGGAGGCCGGTATATCACAGCAATCTTCAGGGGGGTTGGGGAGAATAGTCGGACGCAGTGGGCCTCGAAGGAGAAGGATAGGGAGGGGGGGGGGTTGGGAGGACTCGGAAGGTGCTCTGCGGTGACAGGAGCAGACCAACCCCACCACCTTTCCGACCGTTAGGCCTGGGTGAGTGGGTCCAGGTGAGACCTCCATAGGAGAGTGCAGCAGGGGAGGTAGAGTCAGTGGGCTGGATCCAGGTTTCTGTGACCGCTAGGAGGTTGAGGGAACGGGAAACAAAGAGGTCCTGGATGGCGGTAAGCTTGTTGCACACCGAACGGGCGTTCAGGAGTGCACATGAAAACGGGGGGGGGAGATTTTATGGAGCAGGGGGACAGATACTAAGTTGTGGGGGTTGCAGTAGGACGTGGAGGTGGGAGGGTGTTGAGCGGGTGAGGGAGGTGGAGGGCCAGGATTTGGGGAGATGTCCCTGCGGCTAGGAGGAGGAGAAGGGTGAGAAAGGTGGCATGGGAGCGGGATGTGCCGGAGCGTGAGAAACTCCTAGTGGAGGTGTTGGGGGTCAGTGGGAGAGCGGAGGAGTAATAGGAAGAGGTGGTGGGTGCCAAAGAGGGGCGAAGGAAGCAGTGAGGACACAATATACAATTGTTTGGGAGGGGCAGAGGGATATAGTGAATGGATTTTGGGAACGGAGGAGAGGAAAAAACTGAGAAGGAGTGGAAGAGGCATTTTGGGGAGGTGAAGAGAGCAATAGTAGGGAGATGATAGCAGTGAGGGGGAGATGTACAGGTTGTGGGGTGGAGCGGAGAGGTAAAGAAATGAGATTTGGGAACAGAGGATAGTAATATGATAAGGAGAAGAGGGGGTGTATTATATAAAAGGTACACAGAGTGGGACTCAGGCATGTAAGAGGTTTCCCAGGGTGTTTGCTTGCAGTCTTCCAGCATGCAGTAGAGCTTCTTGCTGTTGTGTCTTCCTGCTGCTTGAGTTCTCCTGCTTTAGTTCAACTGCTGCGTTTAACTGCTTCTTCTATGCACTCGTTCTAAGTCGCACTCAATCTGAAGCAGCACCCCCATCAGAGATCTCCCCATGAGCTGATCTAAATTTATATAGGGAGATGCTCAAATGAGCATTCAACTCCACCCCAATTAGAAGCTGATAAGGATCACATGAGTAGTGAGGGGATGTTTCTCTCAGGAAACAGACACCAGTCGTAAAACGGGTGCAACTAAAGGTGAGAGCTGGTCAACATATACACAAAATATAAATACACCACTTGTTCTGAATATAGCAGGAGTCAATGCGTTTTGGAGTTTAAGAGTGGAGGTAGGAGAAAGGTGCATTTACCTGTGAAAGTAGAGAAGGCATAATTAGATTGCTGCGTTTAACTGCTTCTTCTATGCACTCGTTCTAAGCCGCACTCAATCTGAAGCAGCACCCCCATCAGAGACTGTGCCCCCCATCTGCTGCCAGACTCATCCACCTTACTAACTGCTCTGTATCTGCCAGCCCTTTCTGCCAATCCCTCCACTGGCTTCCAATTGCCCAACAGATAAAATTCAAAACGCTAACACTTATGTATAAAGCCATTCATAACACTGCCCCAAACTACATCACCGATCTTGTCTCCAAATATCACCCAAACCATACTCTCCGCTCCTCGCAAGACCTCCTACTTTTTAGCTCCCTGGTCTCCTCCTCCCATGCTCGTCTCCAGGGCTTCCCCCATCCTCTGGAACTCCCTACCCCATTCCATCAGACTATCGCCTACTCTGCTCACTTTTAGGCGCACTCTGAAAACCTCTCTTCAGGGAAGCCTACCCCGCCCTCAGCTAATACTGGAATCCTCTACTCTTCCAACCATTCCATCCCCCACAGTTATTACCTCTTGTACCACTAGCCCCTCCCTCCTAGATTGTAAGCTCCAAGGAGCAGGGCCCTCAAATCCCTCTTGTATTGAATTGTATTGTTACTGTACTGTCTCGTGTATTGTCTCCCACCATAATGTAAAGCGCTCAGCAAACTGTCGACGCTATATAAATCCTGTATAATAATAATAATTTATTTTTTTCATGTTAGTAGATCAGCTCACTTAATGAGATTGATTTGTTGTTATCACTCTATTGCATCGGTGGCATTTTTAGTCACTTATAAGTTTTTATGAATATTTTATATGTCCTAATCTGTTTATGTGCATTCTATTCTATTTTGCATATTTATCGTCCATCATATATTGGTTTAATTACCTGTGTTTTGGGATAAGCCAGTAAGGGAGTAGTATAGTATTGGGGTAGCGCTGCACCAATTCACTTTAGATTTTGCACTTTAACCATTTGGTATATGGTTGGGTGTTAGCAGCCCCCTCCCCATAATTATTAGTCCAATTTTGAGTAGGGCAGGAGGTTTCTATTGTTTTATTTACACGAACAGAACTGTCATACTTTTCTATCAGCAAATACAAAAAAAAAAAAAAACACATAAAAAATGCATCAAAAACACTTGCGTTTTTGGTACGCTTCAATTGAAGTCTATTACATGCAAAAGGCAATCTGCTGCAAGAAAAAAAAGTTCCTGCCCTTCCAAAAAATGCACTAGCTCAAAATGCAGATGGGAACTAGAGCCATTGGAAATCATGTTAAATGGACTGTAGTGCATTTCTACAAACTGAAAAACACGTTTAAATCCACATAAGTGTGGACCCAGGGTCAATGTACCTTCATTTGTTTAGAATGTGGTGCCATTGCATTGTTCACAAACATCCTTCTTGAATGCATTTCAAAAGTGACCCTGCATAAGTCCTACCACTCTATTGCAGTGCCTGAAGAGGGTGCAGCGTCTGTGTGTTTTTCTTCTAGTCAGACACTGCTGGTAATATGAACTGTGCATCTGAACAGCTAATACACGCCTAAGAAAGAAAAAAACAACTCATGCAACAAACAGCTACGTGACTGTGACTGGTTCAGAAATCAGACAGCCTTAGGACCTCCTAGCCTTTCCCCTCCTCTAGTAGCTGGATCTCTATTGGTGTTTCATACTGTTAAATTATTGTTTTTTCCTGGCACATTGCCAAGCTGTTACACCATTTTTCATCTTCTGCTTCCTGTAGTTGTAGACAGGACAGAAAGTCACCATGTTCCTCCGTCAGCTGCAGCCCATATCTAAAGAAGAGATGTCTACAGTCCAGAAGAAGTCCACTATGGACTCTCCAACATGGTAAGAACATGGAGACGTGTCTCAGTAATGATTGTGCTACTTGGGGAATTATCTGCAGGGTTGTGACCTGTTAGGTTTTTGTTTTTTGTTTTCTTGCAGCCTTCAGGCTAAACAAGAAAAATGTACATGTGTGCAACCAGCTTCAGAGAAGGTCTTCATCAGGGCTGAAAACTAGAGGAGGGGACACAGGAGCAGAGAGAAGTGCAGACAGGACTGAGTGTGTGTGGGGACTGACAGCGAAAGGGAGCGAGGTGAAGAGGAGGAGGACAGGTTGTGTAGCTGTAGCTGTAAGAAGAAGAACAGAGGACTGAGAAGAGGCAGGCCAGGCTGGGAGCAGTATGCAGTTCTAGGACTGACTAGGAGGAGCTAGAGGGAGGTGGAGTTGGGATCAGCTGCTAGGAGATAGGAGAGGGATTTAAATGAAGGTACAGGTGTTCGTCTGCACATTTCATTCATGTTATCATACAGAACGCAGATCTAACATGCATCCTACAGTCCCACCTTGCTACTGCCTTCTGCTTGGTGAGTACATAGTAATAGATGATAGGAGCTGTCAGCAAAATGCATAAGGAACTGCTTTTTTTTTTTACTTTTCATTTATAACAAAATGAAAAAGTACCGGACATCAGAAATATATTTTCCATTCTGTTATATGAATAGGCCCAATAAAGTGTCATTACTGATGGAGCAGAATCTGTTGTTTGCTGTAGTTGTGTAAAGCCTGGTACACACGATGACATTATCGGACAATCGTTTTATTTGAACGCTAATCTCCATATCCATGAAGATGTTACTAAATTTATGAAAAAATTCAGAAGTGATGCCATGTATTGTATTTGTATTGTATTTTTGGACAAAAACTGTACTAATTAAACAAAAATCGTACAATCTGGTATCGTACTAGAAACATTTTCGTTCTAGTCCAATCGGATCATTTCACACAACTTGTCCTGATCGGCTCTCGAAAGCTGTGTACTGATGATCAGATTAATGTACGGTTCCTTTGATGTTTGCAATGATTCCTCATGTGTGGTGCGATCGTTGTTTACGTATGCGTGTGTCTATTCACCATTGTGTTTATTTTTGTTTGATTTTCTGATCGCCTGTGTGGGCCTTCAGTCTCACTATACATGTTACAATCTGACCATACAATCAACTTCTTTTGATTTACTGAGCATGGCTGGATCTAGGGGGTGCTGGGGTGGGCTGTGCCCCTCAGATGTCAGTTCTGCCCCTCCCCCCCGACCTGTTTGTCCGATGTGTCAGAACAACAGTGTAGCTGCAGCAGCCTACACACGTGCTGATCTGTATTGGAATCCAGCTTAGTTATGTGCTGTGTGTAAAGGAGTTCATCGATCCTTGACCGGGCTTGAGAAGAATATGTAATATGTAAAAGCATAGGGGAAGTAGTTCTATTCCTGGCTGTGAATGAGTTGCCCTTCCATGGGAGCTCTGAGAGCCCAGAGTCTAGGAAAGATGATGTGTCAGCAGGAATGTTTCTGAAGCTCTTTGAATTCACATTACTAAAGGATACCAAACTCCGAGATATAGTAAATGACATACCACAAAATGCTAAATATACAGTTGCAAGAAAAAGTATGTGAACCCCTTGGGATTACGTGGAGTTTTGCATGAATTGGGCATAAAATGTGCTCTGAACGTCATCTAAGTCACAACAATAGAAGAATAGAATAGAATTTTATGCCCAATTCATGCAAAACTCCACGTAATCCCAAGGGGTTCACATACTTTTTCTTGCAACTGTACATCCCACAATGTGCAAAATGAGATCATTGAATCTATGGTGAGTCTTGTCAATAAAATGTGTGTATACTTGTGAGCTACTATGGTGGATAGTGACTGTGTTAATCAATTAATTAGGTACAATTGAATAAATTCAAATATGGTTCGCTGGCACTGACACCAACTCACTAAATAGTGTTTGTGACTTAAAAGACTATAACCAATAGTGCCGCTCTCCTGTTAAATAATGTGCTCAAAAAAATCCAAAATATCAGCTGCATAAATGTAAGTACTCAAAAATATATAATAATATATATAATAAGTGACTGATCCTATAATCATCAAATTATATTGACAGTGTACATGCCCAATGTGAAAACAAAGAAACAACTAATTCTCAATAAACCGCATAACCAAAGTCAATATATATGTAGAAACAAAGTCCTCTTTCTATTCAGAAACTCCCACTTCAGTATCTGGATGCAGTGTGATCTATTTATGCGCTCACCTTAGGGCACAGGACACTGCTATGGGGGGGGGGGGGGGGGGGGGGGGGGGGGGGGGTTGGGCACTTTAAGGGGAGAATGTGATGTCAAGGGGAAAGAAGGGAAAAAGACACTACAATTGGGGGAGAGGTGATGGTGTGATATGAAGCGGGGGCAGAGGACACTGCTTTAGGAGGGGGGGGGTGATGTGAAGGGGAGCAGAGGACACTACAGTGGGGTTGATGTGAGGTGGGGGCAGAGGACACTACAGGGGAAGTGATGTGAAGAGGAGCAGAGAACACTACTTTGGGGTGGGGGGGAGTCAGGCACTGCAGGGAGAGGGTAATGTGAAGGGGGACATAGGGCACAGGACACTACTATGGGGGGGGGCAGAGGACACTGCTTTGGGAGGGCACAGAATACTGTTATGGGAGGGGGGCAGAGTACACTACAGTGGGGATGATGTGCGGGGGGGGGGGGGGTCAGAGGACACTACAGTGGGGGTGCTGTGCGGAGGGACACTACACTGGGGGTGGTGATGTGAAGGGGAGCAGAGGACACAACTGTAGAGTATGTGTGGGGGGTAGCGCAGAGGACACTATTGTGGGGTGTGGGGGGACAGGACACTTTTCTCTGTTTTTATTGATAGTTTTCTGTTTTTAAAAAGGGATCCACCCCCTCTCCCCCTTACCTGGGGATCTTTCATTTCCTCCATATTGTCCAAGTGGATCTCAACCTCTGAAAAGTTGCTTACCCCTGACCTAGGGATTGTCCCCCCAACACTGATTACTGGTACCTCCTTCCAGCAACAGGCTGAAGCAATCAACTCACCAGGCTTAAGGAAAATCCACAGAGTCCAGAAAAGGTATCATCTCAGGTTGGTTACCCAGCAAACATTCCAAATGTATTAGAGACACACAACTGCACAAGACAGAGATGCTACATAGCAGACGAGTATTCATGGTAAGAGTCTGGAATTTGTGGAATGATCTCCTACAATAAGTGTTCTAGTCAACTGAGTATTTTGGTTCAAAGAAGGGCAAATGTACTTGTAAATGCACAAAATATAAATGGATATTCATATTTTTAATGTTTTTAAATGGTTTTCCATCCCTCTGGACTAATTTTTTATTTTGTATGTTTTTTTGTTTTTTTTTATAACTTTGTCTTTCAATGAAACTAATCTGCAAAATGTTTTTCCAGCTCTCCTCTACAAAACCGTTGCTGCCAATCCTGAATTTGCTGCGGTTTCATCAGAGATTACTTTGTGTGGATTGTCGTGTGAAAAATATGTATTGTATGATCTTAAAAAAGAGCCTGATCAGGACCTTTTTTATCTGGCTTGTGATACCTGGAAACAAGAACGTTATAGAAATGGGATCAATTTTAATAAAAACACAGGATGCTGCATTATCGAAAATGTGCAGAAGAATGACTCCGGAGTCTACACTGTACTTGCTACTAAGAAAAGTGGGGATCGAGTAAATGTTTTGCATAAAGAATGCAGAGTTATAGGTAAGTGCATAATTATCTTTTCCCCAATGTTCCATTGTCAATCTTTGCAGTACGTTTTATGCATGTTTTTACCTGTTGGACGCCTTTTATGTGAAAGCCATTTGTTCTGGAAGACCTGAAGACCAGGGAGCTCTCTGCTATGGCACTCTGCTGCCTTAGTTGCCATGTTTCGATAACTCTGGCACTGGAGAAACAAGAGCGATATGATTGCTTTTTTATGACATCAAAATCCAAACATGCAACTCTGGATCCACATTTCCAACAATCTTCCCTGTAGAATGAGGATTGGTCTCAACCCTACTTAGTAGTTCCTTTGGGGTTAAGTAGAGGGACCATCTTCTGCTCACAGCAAGGATCTTTAGCAAATTGGTGACTGGTACACCTAGACCTGTAACCTTAGGTTGTCAGAGTGACATCACTCTGTAGGATGCATAGGGTGGTGATCCTCAGGGGTGCACAAGGAGAGAGAGACAGCGGTTTCAAGGGATCAAACAAAAAAATAGAGGAGAGGTGAGAGAGTGCTTATAATGCAGAATGTGGGTGGTATTTGTTTACAGTGTATATTCTTTAAAAACATGAATGTATGCAAAAAAGCAGATCTTGACGAAGTTGCAAACAGCTCAACTCTATGACAGATGTAACCTTACAGGTACAGTTGTGTTCAAAATAATAGCAGTGTGTTGAAAAAAGTGAATAAAGCTCAAAATCCTTCGAATGGCTTTTATTTCCATACACACAAATGCATTGGGAACACGACACATTCTATTCCAAATCAAAACATGAAGAAAAATATATCAAATTTGTGTTGTTCCTCTAACAAAATTGAAGAAAAGTGAATATTAGACTGTTCAAAAAAATAGCAGTGTTTGTATTCTTCTTTACAAACTCAAACATTCACTATATAAAACTGAAAAATGTTTGAAGATTTTGCTTTCCTTTGAATCACTTAATGAATATTTGGTTGTAGTCGCACTGTTTCTGGGAACTGCTGTACATCTGTGTTGCATGGAGTCACCCAACTTCTGGCCCCTGTGAACAGGTATTCCAGGCCAGGATGATTGGACTACATTCCACAGTTCTTCTCTATTTCTTGGTTTTGCCTCAGAAACTGCATTTTTGATGTCACCCCACAAGTTTCTATTGGATTAAGATCCGGGGATTGGGCTGGCCACTCCATAACGTCAATCTTGTTGGTCTGGAACCAAGATGTTGCACGTTTACTGGTGTGTTTGGGGTCGTTGTCTTGTTGGAACACCCATTTCAAGGGCATTTCCTCTTCAGCATAAGGCAGCATGACCTCTTCAAGTATTCTGATGTATTCAAACTGATCCATGATCCCTGGTATGCGATAAATAGGCCCAACACCGTAGTATGAGAAACATCCCCATATCATGATGCTTGCACCACCATGCTTCACTGTCTTCACAGTGTACTGTGGCTTGAATTCAGTGTTTGGGGGTCGTCTGACAAACTGTCTCCGGCCACTAGACCCAAAAAGAACAATCTTACTTTCATCAGTCCACAAAATGTTGCGCCATTTCTCTTTAGGCCAGTCAATGTGCTCTTTGGCAAATTGTAACCTCTTCAGCACATGTCTTTTTTCCAACAGTGGGACTTTGCGGGGGCTTCTTGCAGATAGCTTGGCTTCACATAGGCGTCTTCTAATTGTAACAGTCCTCACAGGGAATGTCACACCTTCTTTCATCTTCCTGGAGCTGATTGTTGGTTGCTGAGTCCTTGCCATTTTGGCTATCCTTCTATCCATTCGAATAGTAGTTTTTTCGCTTTCTTCCACGTCTTTCAGGTTTTGGTTGCCATTTTAAAGCATTTGCGATCATTTTCGCTGAGCAGCCTATCATTTTCTGCACTTCTTTATATGTTTCCCCCTCTCCAATCAACTTTTTAATCAAGGTACGCTGTTCTTCTGAACAATGTCTGGAACGACCCATTTTCCTCAGAATTTCAGAGAGAAATGCACTGTAACCAGCATGTACAACATTTGCTGCCTTCCTTCCTTAAATAAGGGCAATAATTGCCACCTGTTTTTCAAAGAATGAATGACCTCACTAATAGAACTCCACACTGCTATTATTTTGAACATGCCCCTTTCAATTAGTGATACAATTACACAGAATCAGCAGCATGCATGTCATGACTGTTGAGTCTGTTGGATTTCTATTACTCTACTACACCTGCTAGTAAATTATTTGCCATGTAGAAATATCATTTCTACCAAAAACAGTGATTTTATTTTGAACACAACTGTATATGTGGAGAATACCTCTGTCTTCATGCAGAAGAAGGTAGGTCATTTTTGATGTTTCAGGGAACCCAATCCTAGGTCCTCATGGGTCAGTGAATGGTTTGTAGAGGAGAACAAATGCCATTGCCTATTTGAATAGCATATGTGCCCTTATTAGCACACTTTGTTGTTTAGGAATGATCAAAGTCATCATTTTAAATCAGACATGGAACTTATCTATTTAATAACACTAACTGTTAATAAATAAATTCCATGTTCAGTTTAAAACTATGCTTCAAGCCATTCCTAAACAACAACATATGCCATGGATGCCTCTGCCATTCAAATAGTCGATAGGATTTTCTATCTTCTATGCATCACATCACTCTGCAACCTTTTGATATGCCAGAATTTTCTGAACAAATAAGCAAGGGTACAGCCTGGAGAGAATGTTAGGAGAAACCTGATTTCTTTGTGGTTTCCTGGGTCAAGGAACAGAAAGCTCGTTGGCTACAATGCATCCATGTGACCCCTGGCAGCCATCTTGAGTCAGCAGGGTCTTTATAGGTCCCTGTCCTCAGGTTTTGGCGCACTTTTGTGGGAAATATACCTTGTCAAACAGGGAAAGCAATTAGCTGTAGGGAAAGATTCCTAATGAGAAGGAACAGGCTAAGGATTTGCTATCTTCAAAGAAACCTTCCCTCTTTGGGACCAGACAGGCCAGACCGTGCTTCTCCCTCTGAAACAGATACTGATACATATCTCCCTGCTGCATCTCTGCCTTTGAACTGAACTGTGAATGTTTTCCCTTAGCGGCGGTCTCCCACCTAGGGTGTTTGTAGTTTGGCATTCTCTTCAATACAAGTTCCAAGTTCTAGAGGCTTCAACACTTTTGGACTCAAGACAGAACTCAATCACTGACCCACAACCAGTTTTCTCAGAACTTCCTTATCCCTGGTCTGGAACTTATAGGATTAAAGCCAGTGGAACTGCATTATTGGTAAGATGAATGTACCTGAGTTCAGTTTGAGGCAGGTTCGGCAAACATTACTACATTTTGCATGCTGAAACCAAACGCCATTGAAGTCAAAGGGAGCTGAATGATAAAAACAAGTGATAGGGGCACTGCCCATGTACCAGAGGGAAGTATGGATTACCAGTTGAACTTTTTAGTTAAAACTGTATGAGAACTATTCCCATGAAAGCTTCACTGATGGATAAATAAATTAAAAAGTGAAACAATCTGTCAGGGCTCTCCGGGTATGACCAGAGGTATGTGAACTGACGCAGGGAAACGCAGGCTTCAGATATGTTATAAACAATATAATTTATTAACACTAACAATACAAAACGCAGTGCAATACTAAAACATAAACAAAGTGCAAACGAACCAAACCAAGCCACCCACAGATAACAGTACATACAATGCAAGCGTAGTCAGGCAGGCCGGGTCAATAACAATCGGGCAGGTAGGAACAGGAGGAGCAGGCAGAGAGTAGTCAGGTCACGAGCCGGGTACCGCAACTAACAGGCAGGTAGGTACAGGGGGTCAGGCAGAGAATGGTCAGGGTCACAAGCCAGGGATCAAACAGGAGAAGTCAGCAGAGGTCAGGATCAGGCAGGGTCGGCAACGAGTCAGTCAGGCAGGAACAGGAACACGAACAGGAATGCAGGTAACAAGATACAGGGGCCCATAGAAAAACACACACCAAGGCCCAGACTGCAGGTCTGGCCATCCCTTAAATACACCTCCGTAATCAGCTTCAGGTGTTTAGCTGACTGCAGGGTTGAGTCTCTGATTGCTGAGAGCACCCGCTGGCCAGCCCTGGTACTGCAGCCCACAAGGCAGGTGAGTCCCACCATTACTGGCAAGTCCATTCCTGACACAATCTTACCTATTCTGTTCGAGTTCACTTCAAATGCATAACACGTTTCTTCTCTAGAAAACCAAGCAAAAAGCCATTTTCTATAACTGCCAGGGTCTGGTATATCTTATTCATTCCTTCAATTAACACTCACACTCACTCAAAATAAAGTCCCAAGTGCTCATGAATAAAGAGAATCTCATCTTTCATTGTAGATGCACTCTAACAAAGAACATGGGGTAAATGCAAGACCTCACAGAACTCTAGTATAGTCTATTCTACATAATGTCTGTAAATCACAAGGGTAAACCTCAGTTTGATATCCTATATAAAGATGGATGTGAGAGCATTTCTAAGATACCAAACTATACATAGTAAGGGGCTTTCCCTTGAATCACTACAAACCACATCCTCTTAGGAAGTGTTGTGCAATGAGAAAATTAGGAGTTTGGGTCTTCTCTCCTTTCTTCACAATTGCTGCTATTAGCGGGAGAAACACCCATCTTTCTAACCGAAGCAGTGTTCCTAGAGTCTCTAAAATTAGTGGTCAGGTTTTCTCTTCATGTAGTTCGAGGGCTAGGAAAGTCGATAATGCAGAAGCTTTTATAATGCTTAGCTCTGGTTATGTCTTTGATGAATTCTCCAAAGAAAAGTAAGGGAAGGACCAGTGGCATAACTAGAACCTTCAGGGCTGTGGTGCAAGAAACCAAGTAGGGCCCCCTGAGCCCTGGCCAGGGCCCTTCCTTCAGTCCCGGTGGTGGAAAGCCAGGGCCAGGTTGCAAGTGCAACCTTTGTGATGCACCTGGTTCCGCCACTGGTGTAAGTAGTTTTTTTAAACTGTTTTATTATTTTGTACAATTTTTTTAGGGTTTTTTGTGAGACATCAGGGGTCTAAACAGACTTCTCATGTTTAACCTTTGAGACAGAGAAAGGAGATTGAGGACACAACCCTCAATCTCCATCTCTGCAGCCTCAGCTGCACTGAATGAATGGACAGGAATAGCTCTGTACAGAGGCTCCTGTTCATTCACAAACTAAAGCATAGTAAACACAGTTTACTATGTTTCCATTATGAATGGACAGAGTTAGTGATCGATATGGATCACTGATTCTCCATTCAGAAAAGGAAGGGGCCAGTAAATGACACATTTGCCGACCCCCTTCCCTGCTCTCCATCCTGACAGATCCCCTGCAGCAGAAGGGGAGGGGGGGAGGAACCCGGCAGGGCTGCGGGGGAGGGGTGCCAGAAGAGCACAGAGCACATGGGGGGGGGGGGGGCAGCAGAAAGAAGATGGATAGGAGGAGCAGAATGTAAAAATAGCGCTACATATGCAAAAAAGCAGGTTTGACGAGCTTGCAAACAGCCCAACTATACGGCAGATGTAATCTTCCAGGTGTGTGGAGAATACCTCTGTCTTCATGCAGGAGAAGGTAGGTCATTTTTGGCAGCAGAAAGGAGGAGCAGCAGGGTCGGCTGCAGAGAAATTGATCTCTCCATTTTCCTCCTGCAGTCGCTGAATTCCCATTTCTCCTCCTCTCCCTCCCACAGGCATTCAGTGGCTGCAGAGGGAAAACGAAAAGATCAATTCCTCTATATGCAGCTGCCCCCTACACTGCAATTGCAACCCCAGTAGGTATGCCCCAGGGAAGGACACTTGATGCCTCAGTATATATTTGGAACTGTTGCCCATTTTCCCTGAATATTCTGGAATGATGTATGGCAATTTTTCTATAACCAGATTAACATTGTGTGCGGTGTCTAAGTAGCCAAGACCTGGTAGACAGGGGTCTTCTTTGGAGATTTCAAGCTCAAGGAGATCACTTAGTTCCTGGAAACAATATATAATTATGTTTTACATTAGATTTTATTGTTGTTTATATGATGATGTTATTTAATGGCTTTTTGGCTAGATTGTGGAATGCCTGTTGGCCATAACCAATATAAAGTATGAATGTTGACATCCTCACCTCTTGTTTTCTAGATCGGATCAGAAATGTTACCATCAATCCTGGATCAGGGAGAGAGAACATATCTCTCAGTGTTAACTATGAGGGGGATTCACCAACCCAAATTATCTGGAGTATGGATGGGGGACTGTGGCCCGAGGGTCATTCCCTAAGTGATGATAACAGCACTCTTACTCTTCCCGGAAGTGCTCTTGGAATATATAGAGTGACTGTAATGAACCCTGTTAGTAACAGGAGTGTGGAGTATACCATTCAATCTACAGGTAAGAGTAGATACATACTGTATATATTTTGTTTATGTTTTGTCTCTATCTACTTTTCTTCTCACATGCCACCGCGGTCACCTCTGTCCTCTGTCTGTTGTCTATAGACCTCTTCCTTTAAATTTTACGTTTATTTTTACTTTATTTAATTTTCCTATTTTCTTCCCTTGTATGTGTGTTATTTTCTATCTTACTCTCGGTCCTATTTTTTTCTGTGTCAGGTGGTTGGGTCACTTCCTGAACTCTAATCACCATCTAAGATACATCTAGGCATTGCACATATTAAACCCTGAACCTCCCTAACACCTTTTACATCATATCCCATCATTATTTTTTTCCTTTTACTTTTTTTCCTATACCATTAAACAGATTTTTCTACTCCCTATGACATCACCAGGCGTGTAATTTCTTTGCAGGGGCACTTGGAGAACATCTTCACTGCAGGGATGCCCTGTCCTCTTCCTGGCTCTGAACTCTGAACTCCTCCCCTCTAATCCTCCACTGAGACAGGTTCTTTCATTGCTTTCACTGCCTGTAACATTATCCGTGAATTGGGGACAGTCTAACCAATCACAGATCATGCTGCGGGCGGTGTAATCAATTAAATAACTTTTCTCAATAGGGAAGGAAGAGGAGGGGGTAGGTCTCTGTCGGACCATCTTTGCTGCTGTTCTACATGAAGCTGTTAACCATTGCAGCGCCAGAAATTCTAAGCCAGGAAGAGGATGGGTCATCTCTGCAGTGATGATTAATTCCGAATACAGCTGCCTGTACAACATGGGACATATTAATTACAGGTAAGTAATGTGACTAAAGCTAATGGATACTTGTTTTTAAGCTACCGTCTTCAGGACTTTTATCTTCATGATTGCATCACAACTCAGTGAGTCACTGACTTGGAACAAATGTGTGTATTGAGACATCTACCCATGCTTGTTCTGAGTTAAAGTGGAATTCCACCCTAAACCTAACTAACTCTAAACCTGCTAGTCATGGAAACCACCGTGACTTGGGCTCCTGGGGGCCAGCCTCCTTCCAACCAACTATGGACCCAGGACTAAGGTGATCCCCTTCTTGGAGTTACAAGGGTTATATCACTTCCCTGGGTACTTGGCTGGCTGTGATAAGCTTTCCATGCAATTAGGGCAAAAGGGACTGTTTCTGGGACCCCTTGGTATACTTTGCATAGTGGAACTATGTGCAGGGGGCAAATTCCAGCACATGTGGGGTTAAGAAACTTTATTTTGTTATTATTTCAGGTACTTATATAGCACCGTCGATTTATGCAGTGCTATATATATATATTTCATTCACAACAGTCCCTAACCCTCAAGGGGCGTACAATCTAAGGTCCCTAACTTAGATTCATACATACACATACTAGGGACAATTTAGTCAAGATCCAATTAACCTACCAGCATGTCTTTGGAGGGTTGGAGGAAACTGGAGTAACCAGAGGAAATACGCACAGGGAGAACATGCAAACTCCAGGCAGGAGGTACCATGGTTGGGATTATAACCAACAACCCTAGTACTGCCAGGCGGAAGTGCCCCATTATTTTCTGTTACAGGTTTCCTGGCACCATCTATTGTTTGGTGATAAGCTCTCACCTTGTTTAATCCCCTCCAGAGTCCACACTACTAGGTGCATCATCTTTAGAAGAGGCTTCCTTCTAGGACAACAGCCATGCAAACCAATTTGATGCAGTATGTGGCATATGGTCTGAGCACTTACAGGCTGACCCCCCCACCCCTTCAACCTCTGCAGCAATGTTGGCAGCACTCATGTCTATTTCCCAAAGACAACCTCTGGATATGACGCTGAGCATGTGCACTCAACTTCTTTGGTCAACCATAGTGAGGCCTGTTCTAAGTGGAGCCTGTCCTGTTAAATCACTGTATGGTCTTGGCAATTGCAGCTCAGTTTCAGGGTCTTGGCAATCTTCTTATAGCCTCGGCCATCTTTATGTAGAGCAACAGTTCTTTTTTTTCAGATCCTCAGAGAGTTCTTTGCCATGAGGTGCCATGTTGAACTTCCAGTGACCAGTGTGAGAGAGTGATAACACCAACTTTAACACACCTGCTCCCCATTCACACCTGAGACCTTGTAACACTAATGAGTCACATGACACCAGGGAGGGAAAATGGCTAATTGGGCCCAATTTGGACATTGTCACTTAGGGGTGGACTCACTTTTGTTGCCAGTGGTTTAGACATTAATGGCTGTGCGTTGAGTTATTTTGAGGGGACAGCAAATTAACATGTTATACAAGATGTATACGCACTATGTCACATTGTAACAAAGTGTCATTTTTTCAGTGTTGTCACATGAAAAGATAGAATCAAATATTTACACAAATGTGAGGGGTGGACTCACTTCTGGGAGATACTGTATGAACCTCCATCATAATCCATGTGATATTTGGAATATTTCAATATTTCATTTTTGTTTTACAGCAGAAGAACCAACACATCAAGTTAGTATTATCGGCATCGGAATTGGAGTTTGTGTTTCTCTAGCCGTTGTAGTTGGCCTTGTGATCCTGGTATGTATCTGCCTTCTCTACACATATTTTACATGTAGGCTGGAATTATTTTCTGCCCTTGTCTACTGGCACATCAAACTCAAATAAATCAAAAGATTAATCAACAGAATAATTCTTCAAGCGGTCACATTACATCTACTAAGTAAGAGGTACTATCTTTGTCAGTGCCAAAAACATTATAGCATTTTTGTAATTAATATTACATAAATCTTTGCAGCTTATAAGATTTTATTCCAGAGAAAGGGTCCAAAAACTTTTCAAAAAAGAATTGCTCTGAAAACTTATGTACAGTAGTGCAGTCTTTATCAAATGAAGATCAGCTGGGGCTATACTCAACTGATATTCTTAAACCAGATGAAGACCACCAAGGGAGTGAGAGGGGTGCATGTGACCCCCAAAACACGAGCTTGACATGCCAACTGTATACAGATCTTTGGCTTTCAAAATGTGACTGTCATTCCCCCAACTATTCTATAGATATAACACAACTATAACAATGCTCACTTTACTCTGTTACCAGTCTGCTCTTCTTATCTGAACCCCATATATCATTTTTGTCCTATGAATCTTACAAATGCTGTTACCCCAGATGAAGACATTTACTTTCAGCTAAGGCCTTAATGTTTTCTAATGCTCTCACTGTCTTCATTATAAGGCCGTTCTCAGCTCTAGAACCTTCTCTCAGAGCCACAATTATTCCCACCCACTTATGCCCATGTGAGTGCTAATTCAACAGGGTTCAGGGTCGACATTCAATGGACAATGGAAAGCAACATCATGCAAGAGCACAACAGCACACCTCAAATTAAACAAATCTAGCATTGGGTACCCAACACTACAGTAGGATTTTTTTGCAATACCTTGCTTTTATACTGCAGTAATGTCATTATACTGTATATACAGTCATTGTTACAAATCTTGTCCCCCCTGCAATTCTGTCAGATAATGCACCACTTCTCCCAGAAAACTGTTACAGTTACAAATGTTTCGGCATTCTCATTTATTTCTTTGTTTGTATTAATATGACACAAAAAAGTGGAGAAACAAAAAGCCAAACCTGACACATTTCATGTAAAACCCTAAAAAGGACTGGACAGAATTATTGGCACCCTCAATTTAATACTAGGTAGCACACCCTTTGGAAAAAATGACTGAAATTATTATTATACAGGATTTATATAGCGGCAACAGTTTGCGCAGCGCTTTACAATATAAGGGAGACAGTACAACTACAATACATTTCAATACAGAAGGAATAGGAGGGCCCGGCTCGTGGAGCTTACAATCTAAATCTATCGCTTTCTGTAACCATCAATGAGTTTCTTACACCTCTCTACTAGAATTTTGGACCACACTTTTTGTTCGCCAACTGCTCAAGGTCTCTCAGATTGGAAGGGTTCCTTTTCCCAGCTGCTACTTTGAGATCTCTCCACAAGTGATCTATGGGGTTGAGACCTGAATTCATTGCTGGCCAGTTCCATATTCTTCAGAGCGTTGTCTGAAACCATTTCTGGGTGCTTTTTAACATGTTAGTTTGGGTAGTATCCCCTCCTGCTGCTTCTAAAACTGATCCAGCGGCTAATCAGTTGCTCGGATCACTTTTATCAGAAACGGCTGCTGATAGCTTCAGCCTTATGGCTGAAGTAAACCCCAATAAACCACTTGGAAGCCACAACATATATATATATGTATTGCAGTCGGCAAGTGGTTAAGGGGGAGATATAATCAGCATGTATACAGTGAAGGAAATAAGTATTTGATCCCCTGCTGATTTTGAATGTTTGCCCACTCACAAAGAAATGATCGGTCTAAAAATCGAATGTTCGGTGTATTGTAACACTGAGAGACAGAATAGCAACAAAAAATTCAAAAGAAATGCAAGTCTAACAACTGATGCACTAATTTGCATGTTCATGAGGGGGGGCAGCAGGGCAGCTGCCACGTTAGAACACAATAGCAGGGTGGGGGATATGGCTGTACTAACCTCCCTTGTGTTAGTACAGCGATCTGTCAGCTTTTTTTCCTCATTCAGCCCACTGGGTTGCATGAAAAAAGAAAAACTGATAGTGTGTATCCAGCTTTACACATATAGTAAATTCGAGGCATAAAACATGGTAAAAAAATTTTGATTAACCCCTTGACGATCATGTGACCGGGGGCGCCGGGGCGAAGAGTTTAAAATGTGGAAACAATGCAATGGCAAAAAACAGACTTGTGTTACCCGCTTTTCCACCGCCCTATAGCAGAAATACTGCTATAGGCAGGCAGGGCTGCGTAAAATCATGTGTATATATATGTGATTTTGTATTTCCGGGTAGAGGGCGCACACACATCCTACCCACACCACCATTACAGATTCCCTTCCGGCACCTGGTGATCGCCGAGAATCACTGACGGGGAAAGGTCTGTATGAAAGCAACACAGATCTCTCCCCTGTCAGCACCAACATGCTGCTTTGTATTGCTCTGTATAGCAGAGCAATACAAAGCAATGTGCTGACACTGTAAAACACACACCGTTAACCCTTTGATCACCCTAGATGTTAACCCCTTCCTGCCCGGTGTCATTAGTACAGTGTCAGTGCTTTTTATTAGCACTGATCACTGTATTAGTGTCAATGGGGATGTCAGTGACAGTCATTTCTCCCCAAGTTCTGCTATAAGTCACTGATCACTGCCATTACTAGTATTAAAAAAACAATTCCAGTGTATATATACCGCCATTTGTAGACGCTATAATTTTCACCTAAACCAATTAACTTACATGTATTGGGATTTTTTAGCAAAGACATGGAGCAGAATACATTTTGGCCTAAATTTATGATGAAATTTGATTTTTAAATTTTTTTACTGGGACATGTTTAATAGCAAAAGTAAAAAAAAAAAATTTTTTTCTCAAAATTGGCGGTCTTTTTTTGTTTGAAGCGCAAAAATTAACAAACACAGAGGCGATCAAATACCACCGGAAGAAAGTTCTATTTGTGGGGGGAAAAAAAAGGACATGAATGTCCTTTGGGTGCAGCATTGCATGACTGCGCAATTTTTAGTTCAAGTAATAGAGCACTGTATCCCAAAAAATGGCCTGGTTAGGAGGGGGGGGGGGGAATCTTCTGGAGGGCAAGTGGTTAATTAATCCCAATTTGGCCCCCTTTTGTTTTTCCACTTGGCTCTATATAAACACAAATGTTGTCATGTTGCATCTTATCTTCCTTGTTTTTAGCAATAAATGTATAAATCTTGTATGATATTCATGTATTTATCAACCTAGCAGTATGCTAAAATGTATTGTATTTATATTTTTTGAAGATGTAATGTATTTATATTTTTTGAAGATGTATTGTATTTATATTTTTTGAAGATGTATTGTATTTATATTTTTTGAAGATGTATTGTATTTATTATTTTTGAAGATGTAATGTTTTTATAATTTTTGAAGATGTATTGTATTTATTATTTTTGAAGATGTAATGTTTTTATAATTTTTGAAGATGTATTGTATTTATAATTTTTGCATTCTACTATAAGCTGTAACTTATGTTGATGTTACTGATGTTATTTTTTTTTTTTCTGTAGTAATTCACTTTTTATTTTTATTTTTTATCTCATCTCTTCCTAGTTGGTGAAACACTATAAAAAAAGACAACCGAATGGTATAATATGAGACAGAGGGAGTGAGAGTGAAGGATTGAGTCTGATTTACACTACTGAGCGGGTACAAAGTCCACAGTTTACAAAGCTGATAAAAGTTCACTTTTGTCATTTGGAAGCCTTTTGTGAACTTGAAGATCCTCATATAAGTCCTCCTCTATAGACTATGAATGGTGCTCTACCTACAGACCTTTGGCTACAACCAGCAGTCAATGTTTTCCGGTCCTGCGTGCTTACTCAGATTTGTCTGGTATATGTCTTATGGACCACATATTTTTTTTTTTTTTTAACTCTAAATAACTCCTTGCTCTTAGCGGCAATTTTTTTCAGCACTTTTTTAAATTTTTTAAAATAACATTTGAACAAACTTTTTGTTTAAAGGCTATTTTGTAGTGTTATCCTTACATAAAATATGCAAACAATTTTATTTCATTTGTAAAAACTTTGCCGTATCATATACTGGAAACATAATTTTAGTGCCAACAGAACAAACAGCACAGTTGTTGGAAATGATGAAAATTGATATCCTTGGAACTTTGATATTAACTAAAATGTTCCTCCTGGTAGAGCAAATTGCAAATGGATGTGTATTAAGGCAGATAAAGATTGTAAATCCAACTGTCAATAAAAGAACTGGAAAAATGTCTGAGATTTTATTATTTATTTATTTATTACAGGTATTTATATAGCTACAACCACGGCTTTTTTTCAGTGGGAACGGGGGGGGGAATGCAGTTCTGGCACCTCCAGCACTGAATGTTGATGCCGGATGCTGGGGGGATCTATTTTCACTGGAGGGGATATAATTTTGCACGGTGGTCTATTGTTGCTGGAGAGGGATCTATTGTTGCTTGGAGACCAATTGTTGCTGAATTGGATCTACTGTTGAGGGAAGATCTATTGTTGCTGCTGGTGTCTATTGTTCCTGGGGTGGTGTTTTGTTGCGTGGGTCCATTGTTGCTGGGGGAATCTACTGTTGGATCTATTTTACTGCTTTTCTTGTAATCATTAACAAATTCTATTCAAAATGATACTTGGCTCTGTATTCTCTGAAAGGAGCAGTACGGGGAGGTGGGTAGGGGTAGGAACCAAGGGACGGTGCTTGGAGGTGGGTAGGGGGGGGTGGAAACAAGGAGTGACTCAGAAGGGGGGAGTTCCTGCACCTATTCTCTCAGAAAAAAAAGCCCTGGCTACAACAATTTACACAACTCTACATATATGTTGTTTATTCACATCAGTCCCTGCCCTCAAGTAGCTTACTGTTTAAGGTCCCTAACTCACATTCATACATACTAGGGCCAAGTTAGACAGGAGCCAATGAACCTACCAGCATGTCTTTGGAGTGTGGTAGGAAGTCAAAGTACCTGAAGGAAATCCACACAGGCACAGGGAGAACATGCAAACAACATGCTGGTTGACTAAGATCATCAACACATTAACCAGTAGGACCCCATGGGATAATTACTGCCCAAACCTGTTCGGTATTGTAGCATACTTGCTGGGGAGAGGATCATTTTTGGTCATCCAGTGTAATCATCTGTTCAAAAACTGAACTCTGAGCCTCCTTGAACAAGAATGAACATATGACCTTTGATTGAAGGCTTCTTTAACCATGGATCAAGGATGCAATTTCTGGGACCCAACTGAGGCTGTGTCCCAGAATTAAATGAGAGGCCCAGGTGAGAATTTGGGAAGAATGAATGATTGTGTAATTGGCCTAGAGATGCCAAACTTCAGGAGTTTACTTACTGGACTGGGCAAGGGGAGGAGAGCAGTTCTATAGGAGGAGAGGAGTTCTTCAGTGCAAAAACATACATATCACATGTTTACAGGCACTTCCACTGAAGTCTATGGGACTGAGAAAACTCAAACATGCTAAAAAAAAAAAAAAAAAAGCTCATGTAATTTTGTAGGTTGTAGAGCGTTGGACAACTGAGCATACAAGTGTGAACAGGGACAGTTATGAAGAATGGGATTCTCCGTAGTCAGGTATAGGGAAACAAGAAAACAAAATGCTCAAGTGTGAAAGGGGGCTAATACCATAGAGGCCACAGCAGGAGTACCTCCCTTTCTGGGTTCCTAGCTGCTCTCAACTATCCCCCAGCCAATACCAAGCGTGCTTACCCTGAATGCTGGATTCTTCATTTCTATCTCGATATTGAGGATGAAATTCTACTTGGTGTAAAAAGAGAAGAAAAAGTTTCCTACAGAGATTTGAAAGTGTTTCTTGATTTCATTGCAGAATTCTCTCTATCTGAGGGCACCTGGCTATGATCCTGATCGGCTTGGCCTGATGAGTGCAAAATGGATTGGATATTTTCAGTCAATGAATATTGTTTCACCTGACACAAGTAGTTTGGCAGGGCTACTCCCTTCTGTCTCCACATATATAACCATGCAAGTTCACAGACATGCAAGCACATGTTCGTACAGGCACTGTGCCAAGGGGGGGTGACTTTGGTATTTATTGGTGTCTGCCAAAAAAAATTAATAGCAGTGTGGAGAAGGAATGTTTTGTAGATTACCATGACTGTGCAAATTCAATGTGAACTGCTTCAACCCCTTGCCCCCCTGAGGATTCCCCCCCCCCCCTTCCTCACCAGGCCATTGTTTGCGTTACAGTGCCGCATTACTTTATGCAATGCTGCACCCAAATTAAATTTACATCCCTTTTTCCCCCATGGATTGAGCTTTCTTTTGGTGGTATTTGATCGCCTGTGTGTTTTTTTTTATTTTTTGCGCTATAAAAAAAAAGCTAAATCAACAGTAGTACTGCAAGATGCTGATTTGTGCATCAATAAATCATTTGTACCAACAGTGCGGTGGAGGCATCTTGGCCAGGACAGCAGCGGTGGCCAATAGGGCTCTTATACGCTTCCCTCTGTAAGCATTTACTTGGCCTGAAATGGTGGCCCTGGACGTAATTGTGTCATATTTTCGAAACATATCCAGGAAACTATGTGTATGATAGGAGAGGATTGTGACATGGTGTGGTTCTGTACTGAGGTCTCTACTGCTAATAGTTACTCTTTCTATTTATACCACTACGTTCTGCTCAGTCTATTTCCTGACATAGGCTCCCCTTAGCGGCACTTGGCATGCTGTGCACTCTCCGAAAAGAGGAAACTCCCTTAAAGGGAAGACATTATTCAGTTCAACTCTGCTCACAATTATGTCCTTACTGAATGAGCAGCTTTAGTTTATGGAGTAGATATACTTAAGCAAATAGGCCATTCACTTTGAAAGGAAAATTGCAAAGCTCTCGGAAAAATGTACTTGCAAAGTGAACACTCTATATGCCTTTAGTAAAAGGAGCGGAGGGGACAGTTACAAGCACAGATCTCCCTGTATGTCTTTCAATTAAGCAGCTGGAAGCTGATTCTCCTCCTCGCCCTCCTGCACCTTTTAGCTGCTTCACTGAAAGCCACACAGGGAGATCAGTGCTGGTAACTGTCATCCACAACTGTCAATTTCACCTGCTGCAGTCAGTACACACTCACCCCCACCATATTTCCACTCGCCAAATGCAAGCAGGTGAGTGACAATTTTGAGCCCTGGTGTATTTTGTCTGTTGTTTGTACCCATACTGGAGCCAGGTAACATCAGTGCACATTTTGGCATTTTGTTTGAGTAATCCTACCTAACACACACTGATGTGTATTTTACTAAAGGCAAATCGGCAGAACACTTTACAAGAAAATATGACCCAGATCTTAGTGAATGTGGGCTTTAGATTGTAAGCTCCACGAGCAGGGCCCTCCTATCCCTCTTGTATTGAACTGTATTGTTGCTGTATTGTCTCCCTTTATATTGTAAAGCGCTGAGCAAACTGTTGGCGCTATATAAATCCTGTATAATAATAATAGTAATGTGGTAAAATTTAACATTCCAAAGGACAGCCAATCACATGGAAGAAAAATGAAAAATGTAAAGAAAAACAGTTTTATTGCTTGCACATGACTGGATGATGGAAGTCAGCAAAGCTTAATTTTACTTACTAAGCTCTGGGGAAAATTCCCTTGCAAAGCGAACAGTCTATTTGTCTTTAGTAAACTGACCCTATTGAGTGTATTCACACCAGTTATGAAGGGTTTGTCTGAGTTTTCAGATTGACTTTTAGGCAGTAGGAGTGATTTACTAAAGGCATATAGAGTGTTCACTTTGCAAGTACATTTTTCCGAGAGCTTTGCAATTTTCCTTTCAAAGTGAACGGCCTATTTGCTTAAGTATATCTACTCCATAAACTAAAGCTGCTCATTTAGTAAGGACATAATTGTGAGCACATCTGAACTGAATAATGTCTTCCCTTTAAGGGAGTTTCCTCTTTTCGGAGAGTGCACAGCATGCCAAGTGCCGCTAAGGGGAGCCTATGTCAGGAAATAGACTGAGCAGAACGTAGTGGTAGAAATAGAAAGAGGAACTATTAGCAGTAGAGACCTCAGGACAGAACCACACCATGTCAGTCGTATGTCCCAATCCTCTCCTATCATACACATAGCTTCCTGGATATGTTTCGCTGTTCATAGCAGAAAATAAGACACAATTACGTCCAGGGCCGCCTTTTCAGGCCAAGTAAATGCTTACAGAGGGAAGCGTACAAGAGCCCTATTGTCCACCGCTGCTGTTCCTGGCCAAGATGCCTCCACCGCACTGTTGGTACAAATGATTATTTGATGCACAAATCAGCATCTTGCAGTACTACTGTTGATTTAGCACCTGCGCTCTACAAGTTTTATTCTATGCTGCCAGGCTGCGGTGGCAACTATGGGACTCTCCACACAATGGGGACTCTCCCCGGGAAACAGGGACGGATAGTAACCTTGTGTTACACAGCCAGGTTTGCAGTGGTTACAAACTTTAACTGTTTGGAAGCTAAGTGACACAAGGAGGGTTACGATAATTGCCTGCAATTCTGAGCAGCAGTGACCATTTTGCAGTATTTTTAACCTTGAGGGCTGCCATTTTGGGTAGGCCATTATGTACACTGGACAGATTGTGATTGGCCAAAAAGAGGACACAGAGGAAGGGTATATGGACTGCT